AGCTTCGCTTTTTTGACACTCCTGGCTCCTATTTTTCGTTTCTCTTTGGTTCTGATGTCATTGATCAGCTTCAGGCCACCGCCGCTGCAGTTACCTCCTTCAGCTACAGGTTCATCAGTATTACTATTATTACAGCAGTAGCTTTAGATGTAATCGTGCACTCTTACGACACATTTTTTTCTGCTATATGTGTATTTTAATTTTTATTCTTTAAAATGTTTAATGCTGAGTGTGCATTTCTGTGTGACTGATCCTCTAATCATCTCTACCACAGCAGTATATGTGTACTGTCACATTTTTATGCAACCGGTGGGAAATTTATACTTTAGATTACCTTTAATATGTATTTTAAGACATGTTCTTAGGGTTTTTTTCGACGCTTATGGCGGTTTGGTTGCCTTCAGGTCCTGTCGGACATATACCTTACCGTCTACATCAACATTCCGTCCCTACATAGTATTTACCCCACCATCATATATATATTCCATAAAATCATTTGAATCCATTCAAATATAATTTATTAACATCAATATTAGTTTTCATAATAGAACATTATCTGCTTAAACCGCAACAATTTCACAGCCATCTTAATCCTGAAGTGACAATTCAGGTTTACGAGCCTTAATGGAGTACCTGAATGCAGCATAAATCATCGGCGCCATTCGTCAGTGTTCGGCCCTTCGTCCTCGCCTCCTGATTGGTCCGCTGAACCTCGTGTTTCCGGACGTGACCGCTTCAGAGAGTCACCTTGCCCCGGCCGCTGCTGCTGCTGCTGCTGCACCGGTGAGAGAGCAGGTGGACCGACCCGCCCAGAGGCACACAGGCAGGCAGACAGCGGGACTCTGAAGCCGGCCACTGACCCACCCACCGACCGACCGGGGGAAACATGGCGGAGGCAAAGCCCAAGACCTCTCCGAAGGCCATCAAGTTCCTGTTCGGGGGTTTGGCCGGGTAAGCGCCGCTGCGAGCTGTCATGCTAACATGCTAATTTGAGAGGTCAGGCTGCTAACGGAGGAGCTAACAGAGGAGCTAACACACATTGACGTTTTTGTGCTGAAGCCTCCGTTTAATGTCGAGCCGTTGAGCAATGGAGCTGTTCCGGCTCCGTCCGGCTGCACCACCAGTTGCTAACGCCGGCTGCTAATGCTAGCGGCTAACGCTAGCTGACCGTGAATAGTTCTCAGCGCAGCGACGCTGTCGTGTCCCCATCACGGCTCTGGTCCGTGTCCCCATCACGGCTCTGGTCCGTGTCCCCATCACGGCTCTGGTCCGTGTCCCCATCAGGGCTCTGGTCCGTGTCCCCATCAGGGCTCTGGTCCGTGTCCCCTTCGACATCAGCATCGAGTCAGTAACCAACATTAACCTCATTTAACCAGCTCACAGCAGGCGGGACAGGGCGACGGTTCAGCCTCCGAAGGGACACCGGTGCAGGGGGAGCGCTGCACTGCTTTAAGCACCTGCTCATCCGGCTGTGATCCGTCAGAACAGAACGAGCTAAAAAAATATGCAGAAAGTTATAACTTGTACTAAGACAGACTCGGACATTAGTGAGGGAAAGCTGCATTTAAACGCTCACCAGAACTATTTGTTTTGGTGTTCTGCTGGTCAGCTGTCAGTCTAGTGCTGGCAGTCAGGCTAATGCTAGCAGTCAGGCTAGTGCTAGCAGTCAGGCTAATGCTGGCAGTCAGGCTAATGCTGGCAGTCAGGCTAGTGCT